GCCCTTTCACTTTTTGCTTGCATGGCCTGTTTGCAGTGACCGAAATGTCATTAAAATGGAAATTGCAGTTAAGTGCACAAGAGGTGCATCTTAGTGTTCTCTGCGGTGTAGACTAGAGTATAGCGCTTAACCATGACAACCTCAGGTTGGAGAGGAACAAAACCTGACTACTTGAATCCTCCACAGCATGTCATGGCAACATTTGTTATTTTGCTTTTCCATCAATGTGATCAACTCACATTTCTAAACTATGTTATATAGCAGCTTTATCAAGGTCATGAACTACAAGTTGGAGGAATAAATAGAATACGAGTTGTACCACTTTTCTGCGGCCTCACACACACACACACACACACACTGACCCATAATATCTCAGTCCCTCGCTTCCATTTACCCGTTCACCACAGGGTGACAGTAGGCCGGCTCTTGGGGAAGTGAAGGATTCACATTTATAGATTCATACAATAGGTTCCATTATCCCACTTGGCTGCCTCTTAACCATTACACACGCATTCCAAACACCCCCTGCAGCTGGAAGCTTCTCTATTGTTGCCGAGCCGTGCAAGTAGGAAATGAGGTTGCTAAATAAAGGCGAAGGTTCGGGGTGGCATGGTTCCAGGAAGGAGACAAAATCGGATATTTCTCCCGTGACAGCAGAGCAGACACGAAGATGCCTCGACTCTGTGCATCACAATTCTCTACGTTTTACATTCAACTCATTGTCACGCACTTATCACTCTGTACTTCATGACCTGGTTTACTGGCCTTCATTAAGCCTGAGGAGACCGCATCATAGCTATAGTGGGTAAACTCATTTCCTATCACTCACCAACATCTGTTATGATTTTTCGCTCCCCTAGATGGCGACTCTACCGGGTACCCAGGATTTGCTCAGAACTTGGTAGAAAAGCTTTCTCGTATATTGCGTCGTGGAATAACCTTCAGAGCACACTGCAGCTTAATGATTTAATGAGGTCAAAGCTCTGATAAAAAGCTGTGTACCTGGAGAGTGCAATTGCTACTCCTGAGTTGGACTTGTTGTCCCCTTGTCTGTTTGTAACGTACTCTATTTTTTTATTTAACCTCGTCTGTTTTGTAACATTGTAATCATGTGCTTTCTTGTCCAGGTCTCGCTTGAAAAAGAGATTTTAATCTCAAGGGGCTTCCTGGTTAAATACATAAATAACAATAAATAGAGTAAAAGAGTGTAATCCTTAGACAAGATGGCGAGCCTGAGAAATATAGAAGTGATCCATAGAAATAAAAGCAACATTATAAACAATATCAGTCATTCTTAAAACAAAAAGGGAGAATGAAGGTATATAATGTAGCTTCTATTTGACAAACCGATCAGGATTTTGATAAAGAATGATTTAATTGGAATAGAGTGTGTTGAAAGTTAACTCCCAGACAAGAAATCTCTCGTTAGTTCCTTTCAAAAATTAACAAAGACACTGTCTCTTTTTGACACCTTTAAAGACTCTGCTGAGCCTTCGCTCCTTTAGGATTGTTGTAAAATTCAAAGATGAACATGTCAAACCAAAATAAGTCTTAAAAATGCACTTCAGAAAATAATATAAGATTTTCACAGAATAACACTTCACAGAAATAGGACTCTTTGTGGGTGGTGGGCCAAAATCCCAAACAACAAATTACAAATGACTTCATAAGATACAGATGTTACAGTTATAAGTGTTTGCCCCCTTCCTGATTTCTTATTTTTTTGCATGTTTGTCACACTTAAATGTTTCAGATCATCAAACAAATTTAAATATTAGACAAAGATAACACAAGTAAACACAAAATGCAGTTTTTAAATGAAGGTTTTTATTATTAAGGGGGAAAGAAAATCCAAACCTACATGGCCCTGTGTGAAAAAGTGATTGCCCCCTAAACCTAATAACTGGTTGGGCCACCCTTAGCAGCAACAACTGCAATCAAGCATTTGCGATAACTGGCAATGAGTCTTTTACAGCGCTGTAGAGGAATTTTGGCCCACTCATCTTTGCAGAATTGTTGTAATTCAGCCACATTGGAGGGTTTTCGAGCATGAACCGCCTTTTTAAGGTCATGCCACAGCATCTCAATCGGATTCAGGTCGGGACTTTGACTAGGCCACTCCAAAGTCTTCATTTTGTTTTTCTTAAGCCATTCAGAGGTGGACTTGCTGGTGTGTTTTGGATCATTGTCCTGCTGCAGAACCCAAGTGCGCTTCAGCTTGAGGTCACGAACAGATGGCCGGACATTCTCCTTCAGGATTTTTTGGTAGACAGCAGAATTCATCGTTCCATTTACCACAGCAAGTCTTCAGGTCCTGAAGCAGCAAAACAGCCCCAGACCATCACACTACCACCACCATATTTTACTGTTGGTATGATGTTCCTTTTCTGAAATGCCGTGTTACTTTTACGCCAGATGTAATGGGACATACACCTTCCAAAAAGTTCAACTTTTGTCTCGTCAGTCCACAGACTATTTTCCCAAAAGTCTTGGGGATCATCAAGATGTTTTCTGGCAAAACTGAGACGAGCCTTTATGTTCTTTTTGCTCAGCAGTGGTTTTCGTCTTGGAACTCTGCCATGCAGGCCATTTTTGCCCAGTCTCTTTCTTATGGTGGAGTCATGAACACTGACCTTAATTGAGGCAAGTGAGGCCTGCAGTTCTTTGGATGTTGTTCTGGGGTCTTTTGTGACCTCTCGGATGAGTCGTCGCTGCGCTCTTGGGGTAATTTTGGTCGGCCGGCCACTCCTGGGAAGGTTCACCACTGTTCCATGTTTTCGCCATTTGTGGATAATGGCTCTCACTGTGGTTCGCTGGAGTTCCAAAGCTTTAGAAATGGCTTTGTAACCTTTTCCAGACTGATAGATCTCAATTACTTTGTTTCTCATTTGTTCCTGAATTTCTTTGGATCGCAGCATGATGTCTAGCTTTTGAGGATCTTTTGGTCTACCTCACTTTGTCAGGCAGGTCCTATTTAAGTGATTTCTTGATTGAGAACAGGTGTGGCAGTAATCAGGCCTGGGTGTGGCTAGAGAAATTGAACTCAGCTTTCCAAAGATGTGATAAACCACAGTTAATTTATGTTTTAACAGGGGGGGGCAATCACTTTTTCACACAGGGCCATGTAGGTTTGGATTTTTTTCCCCCTTAATAATAAAAACCTTCATTTAAAAACTGCATTTTGTGTTTACTTGTGTTATCTTTGTCTAATATTTAAATTTGTTTGATGATCTGAAACATTTAAGTGTGACAAACATGCAAAAAATAAGACATCAGGAAGGGGGCAAACACTTTTTCACACAACTGTATATCAGCAGTAACAATGATTTAACGTACATGTAACCTCAGTTTTATGATCTTGTCTTGTCTATCCACCTGTAAAAGCCTTAAAATATGGAGGTTTATTATATAGAGAAACGTCACATACAAACCCTAAACAAACAGAAAGCGCCATACTGTAACTGCAGAGTGCAGCGTATATTCCCACTTGTCCTCAAAAGGCCCTTTAACTCATTCCAGACGATTCCAGGAAAAAAACACATTTGTTGCCAAGCAAGCTACCTGATTAAATTAACTTTAAATCATAAAACAACCATGTTGCACATACTGTATGCCCGGACATCTGCTTGAGACTTTCACTTTAGCCGGACACCTTGCATGTAAACAAATCTATCATTCATCAGCTTCCCTAAATAAGAAGACCTGCGTACCGCACATACTACACTCATTCTGGCTCTCGCTCTAACATGAGTACTGATGAAAAATTGATCAAAGGGAATGTGTGCGTCTGTTATGCACGGTGTGGTTCCTGTAGCATGCATAAAAACACATGTTCTTAGTTAAGACGATGGAATAATGTATGCACAAGAGACTTCATTTTTGGTAATGTTTCATAGATGAACACAAAGATTATTAAATTAAGTACTTCCTGTCAAGTTCTATTAGCCGTAGACATTTGTTGAAAGACGGGAGAGATTTATCGTCAAGGTTATTCAAATATGAAGTGGCTCCACGTGAGACTTTGTTTAGCTCTTTCCAAGGAGATTTTCTACATTTGTGTGCTTGTTGTCACTCCACAACGTACATATACGCTTCACTGCACTTATGCTCTGCTTTGTACTGTCTATGCTATGCTTTTGTAACCCCGCTGTTCTCCACTGTCTCTCGCTTGATTTGTATTAAACTTGTGGCTGTTTTGACCTAATAGGCTAAACTAACAAGAGGTCTGAGAAATGATAGGTACGCTTTAGTATCGCAATATTGTTTTGTGATACTGTATCGATTCTCAAAAACACTGTTGATTTTTAATTAATAGTTTACATGCAAAGGCTCGGTTTGCACACAAAGTAGTTCCAGGGACTGTGATGAATGCAGATCCCGCTGTTCTGATTGCATACAAATTTACTTTTTAAACTTAGATTTTATGCATATGGCGGCGTATTGTTTATTCTATGACAGTTTTCCTTAAATTAAATGAATAAAACTGTGCAATATGTTGTAATTGAATTGTAACCCTTGTATCGTGATGGGTATCGTATCGCCAGGTTCTTGCCAATGTAAGGCCCTAAAACTAATGAGTTGTTGTGCAAGGCCCCCAAACCTGATCTTTAATAATTTGTTGTATAGAGAGCACCGCCGAGCTCAGTTATTATTTATCACATACAGCACACTGTATACAGATCCTTTCTGGTCTATCGAGTCAGTGTTGAAGTGAGAGAGCTGAGTTTCAAGTTTAAGTTTTGGCTCACAGCCTCAGATGAATGTCAGCTCACGTCTCTCTCTCTCTCTCTCTCTCTCTCTCTCTCTCTCTGTCTTCACTCTCCTCTGCTTAGTCAAATAAAAAAAATACAGGAAAGAGTGAATAAGTGATTCTTGAGAGGCGTCTTCACTGAGGACTTGCAGTGGGTTTTGCTGAAGACTGTATTTGTTGCGGTATAGGAAGAAAAGAGGAGATTCCTGCATAATGCATCAAGGCCTGTGTGAGTGTTGAAGAGATCTCACGCATGTTTATCCACGGTAAAAAACGTAGTGTGTGCATGTCTCAAAAACAAATGCATATTTGATGGGAATATCCACACGCATGCAGCTCGTTATCGGCAAACAGCATGTGCACTTACAAATGCTGTACGTGTTTGAACCATTTTATCTGCAGTGCCACAGTTGTACTTTATTGTGGAGAGCTGTTGCTCGTCCAGAATATCCCTGCTGCTCAGGTTAGATTGCTCAAAAACACCTGAGGGCATGTGTGCACTTTGTTTCATGATTGTTTCTGTTGTGTTTGTCAGTCACTCGAGCCTTGGAGAGATTTTACCTTGTTGTGGGGATCAGGTTGGCAGGTTCCTCATTTAGAGGCTAATACGCAGTCATTACTGCGTTACCCATCATTAAACAAGACATCGCCCTTATCGGTGTGGGTAAAGCTCCCTAAAGGCAAGCAATTAACCTCTTAGAAAATGCCTGTCATCCTCACTTTTTCTTCTCCTCCTCCTTTCACCTCCTTATTCAGCCTCTAGTTCACAGAGGTGTTGGTGATGTAAGCATTTTAAATTGTCTCCTGCTCTTAAATCGGTTTCCATCGGTACAGCTTGACGTATATGTACTATAGGTGCATATGGGTGAAGCCTTTGTGAAGTTAATAAACGGCATCAGCCACAGTTCAATTCCTCGTTGTCAGGTGCTTAGAGCCCATTGGCTGAACGCAGATTTATTTGGCAGGATTCTTTTCCTCCCATGTTTATCTCCGAGCACATGGGAAGAGTATTGGAAATGGCGTTTTTCATTATTCTTTAAGACGTATTTAATCCCCGTTTGAAAGGATGGGTTTAGCAGCATTTGAATGGCAAATGAAGCAGGACGGGAACTGCAAAATTTTGATTAGACCAAGAATTCAATTTCCACCTATTAGGTAACATCGTTTATCACCCATGCCTGAAACATTAGTTACAGTGGGTTCTCATCGTAAAAAGTGTGTGGTAATGTTCAGCATCCTTATAGGAATTGCCATGTGCTGCCAGAAGCAGTCAGCGTAAACGGCACCAGTGCAAACATGAAGAGGGTTCTCGTGGGCAGCACATTTTGTTGGCGAAACGAGGAAGACGTTTTTGAGATTGCGTGAGATGGGCAGTTTGACAGGCTTGTGAAGAGCCGGGAGACCTCTGACAACATGGAGACTTTCTCCTTTCCTCCTCGCTCTCCTTGACGGACGGACCATCTATTTGACAATGTGCTGTCAGGAGCTGTCAGATTAAACAACCTACTCTCTCCGTCTCTGTCACTGGTTATCAAGGTATATTTCCAAGGCCTCAGATACATATTAGACATTATGCTTTATGTTGAATAATTTCCATGTGACCTAAGAACACAAGGCTACGTGATAAAGGGTTTAAATGAACTTCAATTTCACCACTGAGACCATTTTGTTATCTTATCAATAATTAAAAATGTCACACACATTTAACAGTCTTCTATTACTTACATGTAGATATGTGTATTCTAATAATAGTTTCACTTGAATATTGGCATTCATTTGACCACCAAGAGCTTTGGTTTGCATGGATTTTTCAGGAAGACTTTAGAACTACTTCCCAAATGAAAAGGTTCCACCACTACCTCTGATGCACTGATGGAAATTCTCTTAAAGCTCCCTCTGCTTTAAGTTGTTTTCACTCTGATTAAAGTGGCTTTTTATTAATCAATTTTTATTTCCTCTCCGGATGTCCCTGCTTGGTGTTAATGTACATTCATATAACCAGCTACAGTAATATACAGTCTGCTTATGTTCCCTGCCCTTTACTGTATCTACCGACCTTTCTCACCATCTGGCCCCTGCTGGTGTGAGCGTGTTTTTTCCAGGCCTGTCTGTTGTGTGGCTGCATGCTGCAACATTCACATGTGTTCTGTGCACTTGATTATACAGATTTAAAAAGGCCAGCTGCCTTGCAGCAGTGGAAATGTTTTGAGGTAAATGTCAGATGGCAGTGGGAAGAAAAAAATATATGTGTATGTTTTATATTCACATTGCCAGTACATTTACGAAAAAAAATGTTCCTCCGTTGCTGCTGTTTCAGGCCTTTCTACCCGATATTTAGATTTTGAACTCATTCACTTCAGAAGAAAACATGCAGGCAGACATGGCCACCCCACATCCCAGAGCTGAGATGCTCGCTGTGTGCCTCTGCAGCATCAAGACAGTTTTATATCTCACATCATTTGAAATCATAAGACAGTTTCCCTTGCTTCACTTTAGAAATCAGATCAAAAACAATGAATACACCTTAGAATCCGGGATGCAGTCATCAGCATGTCTCATATTATGTAACCATGGGTGTGTGTGCGGTTGGTAGCATACAGTGTTTGTTGTACATCTTTGTTAGAGCACTTGCAACATTTACACTAGTGAATTTGTTTTTTTACAAAATGATTTAAATAACCTGTCAAGTGAGATATTTGGTCGTTTAAAATTTAGATCATTACTTTGTTTTTTCCTTACCTAAGATATTTTCCATCCAATAAGGCCCAAACAGTTGATACTGCTGGAGCTGTTATCACTTTAGAAGCCGAAATGCTCTGTTAGCTACCTGGGTTTTATCAAATTTGCTGGGCTAATAAATGAGTCTGATAAGATCTTTACATTTTGGGGAATGATTCAAGTTATTCACCACTGGTTCATAATATAAGTGCTCAATGAGAGAACATAATAGAATCCCACAAAGTTTTAAGTTGTATAATAACACATAAAAAAACACATTCCGAAAGACATTTTCCTTCACCCCTCTCACATCTAAATGGTACAGTCCTAATATACCGTACAGCCTTCTACTGTGAATGATTGTGCTGCTAGCTGACACCTTTGATTTGCTGCTAGGCCTTGTCGTGACCCATCCCATCTATCTTTTATTGTGTGTGTGTGTGTGTGTGTGTTTCTGCACACATTTCAGTCTGTCTAAACTATTTATTTATTTCTGTCCTGTTGTTTTTCTGTGACTAATTGATGGACAGTACTCCAGGTGAATGACAGTGGCAGCTCGTTGTTGTGACTCATTAGTGTATTGTGTTCAATCACAAAGAATAAATCACGTCATTCGGGGTCGTGTAATGGGCTATTACATTTTGTATGGGGTCTCTGAAGCTGTATGGTATCTTTTAACATATAATACGTCATAATTTGTGATGATAGATGTTCTCTCCTCTGGTGGTGTTCAGACTGTGAATGACTCAGCAGAGAGAAGTCCTTCCACTAAGCGTTACGGTTGCCTGGTTACATGTGTAGTTTTAATGTGCGTTTCCACTCCTACTCAAACTCGGTCGGTTACTAACAGAGAAAGAGAGCGAAACTTTGATGTATGCATTCATGAATCATGTGGACCGAGCAAATATTTAACAGGCTCCTGACTGTCGCCCACACCTTTATCTTCAAAACACAGCTTCAGGCACCAAGAGCGTTAGTGTTGGAAGTGTAACTAAACGCGGCCACGCACCCTTTCTAGCATAACTCATGATTCCAGTCAGATGCATGACTCAATAATATTTTATGATGTGTCATTTACATCAGCAGCAGTAACGGTGGGTCTAGATTCTACATGTCACTGCCGCATTCTCAGTATGTTTTATTGTATTCATTTCCTCTCAACAAGGCCCCTTCATTAAGATACCCATCATTGACTGCCGCATCACTGCAAACACTCATTTGATTACAAACCAGCAAAAACTAGTTTCTGGCATGCTTGCCAGCTGTGGATGCTTGGCGAATAAAGTAGCAATTGCGTTAGTGCGCCACTACAGTACTATTGAAAGCACAGCAGTAAGAGTTGCATAGTAAGAGTAAATGGTGTTGTGTCACAACAGCCACACATGCTGTATTCTCAATAATATTCTACCAGGTTTCCCTAAATGATAATACGATGGCAGCAGCCATATTCTTACCCTGGTCTCCCTGCCATCTTCAGTTACCAGAAATGGCTCATTTAATTCACAGATGCTTTCAGTCTGAATGTGAATTTTTACGAGAGAGTTTGTGTAGGTTTCTTGTTTCCCTGTAAATCACAACAAAGTAAAGCCTGCAGCTAGTGTGGGACATTTTTGTTCAATATTGCAGAATGTCACTGTATAGTTTTGCATTTGAAAATGTCACCATATCCAACAAAGAGAGAAAGAATTGTAGTTGCAGTTTCAATCTTGGATCCCCCGAGGCAAGAGTTCTTAAGAAAACCAACCGATACTGCAAAGTATAACAATAACACTTAACTGCCGGAAGGCTGTCGGAGGCTTGAACATTAGATTTAACATGTGCTAGCGATGTGCAAGACAGCTAATACATACTTAATGATTTTGTCTTCCTAGAGCTAAATATTCATCCAGGTGACACAATGTTATTTCTTTTTTAAATAAACAGCACCAAATGCCCAAAAACTCTCTACCAGCTTCACAGGCGTCTGTGAGTGATTGTGCGAGTGCCTGAACTCAGCAGCTGATGTTTTGCAGCTCGCAAAGACGGGACAGAAACCTCATGAAGCTGCCGCTGCCGTTCAACAGACAGAGTGACAGCAGACGGGTGCTATCGGCAGGAAAGAAGCGATAGACCGTGAAACAAGGACAGTAAAAACTGCTGGGTGTATGTGGGGGCAGTTTGAGCTGTGTGTGTGTGTGTGTGTGTGTGTGTGTGTGTGTGTGTGTGTGTGTTAGTGAGCCACAGAGCGTGAGGATGATCGATTTGATGATGAGTGTGAAGGCATTGCAAGGCCAGCAGGGTGTGTGTATGTGTTTGAGTAGCTTCATGCACATTTCCTTACATCTGCCAGTCATTACAAACTAGTCCTCAGGAAAACAGAACAATGCCTGGATGGTTTATGTTACAGATTACACTGTCAAGTCACACTTTAACCACAATAATGACTCACTCCTTCTCTCTTATTGTGTGTAAATCCCCCTTGTCACCTGTGCATGCTTAAATATGTTCAATTTGCACACACAGAAAGTTCATCCAGTCCCTCTGAAGAAAAAAACCCAGTGTCTGTATCATGCACATTTTGTCACTTTACATGCAAGTACTTTTGAAGTGTGTGTGTGTGTGTGTGTGTGTGTGTGTGTGTGTGTGTGTGTGCGTGTGTGTGTGTGTGTGTGTGTGTGTGTTATATACAGCACCGGGGCTGCCTTTGGCGGAAACCTATATAAATAAGATATAGCGAGGCGGAGAGAATCTAAAAATACCACGGCTGAGTGAGCAGGGCTTAAGAAGAAGAAGCAGTGGCTGTCTCCACTGTCAGGCCTGCCTCTTGGTCTTCAGGCTGCGCGCTGCTGTCTCAGAATGAAATATTAGGCCTTTATAAGCAAACGGAAACAAATCCATCTGAGACCAGACAGCTAATTTAAAGTGACGGGTAGAACAAGGGGGATTTTATATCAGATATTGAACGTTTGATCCTGTTTGGTCTGTGTGATGTAAAGTGTATGAAACGGCTATGACGAGATTGTGGATGGATTGTTCGCACGTTAAGTGTTTAAAATGTGACTTCAAGGTCACGCCCTGTGGCCGTGTCCCTTTCCCTTTTGTCATCAATTTCTTAAAGAATGACACGTGCATGAAAACATTTACCCCCGTACACATCCTGCGTCTCACCGCCCATCCCTCTTTTTTTGTCTCTGTGTCTTTCTAGCCCACATACACAAACAACCTCAGAGGACCATTACATGTCTAATACTGTCTGCACACAGAAGCATGGCTCTAGTCCCGGGCCTGTGGCTGGCATGAAAGACAAACTGACACTTTCATCCGTCCGTCCATCCATCCCTTTGTTTGTCCACCAAGGCTTCAAACATAACCTTCTCTCCATTGGCACAGCTCCCTCAGCACCTGATATGTGAAGTACACTACAAAGTGTGAATGACTGTGGACCGGCTCAGCGGTGACTTGAATTGGCTGTTAATGACTCCCTCAGAGATATATTTCCATTTGAAAAGGCGGCTGTTAGTGTTGCTTGTTATTTACGGTCACTTAAAATGGAGCCTGTCAGTGTTCTAGCTCAAAATCCTTTATACTTAAGATATTTTACTAAACAAAATTCTGAAAGAGCTCTAATTAAGATTAGCGCTTCAGAAATCCTGTTGGAAAAAGTGTCCTCGGTGAAATAAGATTAGTTCCTATTTGCAAGTGAGCCCAAATTAGCATTTCCTGTATAGAAGAGAAGTGGTGACCAAGCTTGTATGATGAACATGTAAACCTAAGATTTGCATTTTTTGCTTTGTGAGCCAAGCTGTGAGAAAATGACTCTATTTAGTCAAATCTAAAGCTTGAGTTGAATCCTAAAGATTTGAATTGCCCTTAATGGTGTTTCCTCTCCACTTTTCAGCTGGGCTTCTTAGCTTCTTCTCTCACAATACAATAGCTGCAAATAAAAGGCAAAGCTAGTGAGTTTTGGTCTCTGCGTTTCTGTATACGGACACACGTTATCAAAGAAAATTCCCAGTTCTGCTTCAGACACAAACTTGTTAACATAAAGCAAATAAAATACACACTGCATGATCAGCAGGTAAATGGATTTCTCCGCTTGTTCATTATGTCTGTATATGAATATATCAAAAGGTGCACACACAGGTGCATGCTCACCCACACGTCCACATAATCAAGCGAACACACACACACACATTCACATTAACACGTGTACACATCAGCCTATTTCCTGTGGCTTTTGCTATTTTTTTATTTCTCCTGGGCTTTGGGTCACGCGGTGTCGAGGTGAGAGGGAGGGCAGCTTTGTGAGAACATGGTGTGTACGGCGGTTGTTTGATGAGCTTCTGCGTGAAAGAAACAGACCTGTGTGAGGCGGACATGCATCGCTTGTTTTGTTTGCCTGTATCATGATTGCGGAAACAGACGCACCAAGAAACACAGCGAGTACAAACTCAGGTAGTACACCAGGATTTTTTATTTCATGTCTTTCTTGTAAAAGATTTTCTGTTAAAAAATGTTTTGTTTACAGGAACTGATACAGGAAATTCATTGAGACTTTGTGAATGTCTTTCACACATGGATTTTTTTCTTTTTCTCTTGAAGAAAAAATCCTCTCTGTGCTAATTTCCGAAGATGTGTTTCGGTTTTTAGACTGTAGCAGCTATTCCACACGAGTGCCAAAATATTTGTCTTTGTAATTGAATGGAATTATGTCATTTCGACATCCTCTGCTGTGACTAACATAATGCAATTGCCTTAGCTCCTATGAATCATCACCAGAGGTGTATGTCTGTGTGAGCCCTCATTCACCACTCTACATTTGAATTATGTCCCATAAGTGTGGAATAGACGGTTTTGTGAGGCTCGCTTGAGCGTTTGTGTTGGTGTAGTGCTTCTACGATTCTACACTTGATTCAGGGATGTCTGGCTAACTGTATGTGCAGCTCAGCCTGCAAGGACAGAATGTGTTGGGTTTAATGGCTTGTGCTCCTATACACTAAAGTCATCAGCACAAACTTAATCCTGCGGGCTAAATGTGAGCGAGAGCTAAAAATAGCCCCCGTAGCTACAGTAACATGCGTAGCAGGATATGGTTGTCTGGTAGATGATAATGATGAAAAAAGACGAGGAGGAAGGAGAGACTAGTAGCATAAGAAGAGACATGTATGACAGGTGGTTTTATGTTCTAAAGAAGGTTGGAAAGATGTAAAAATAAAGATCCTCATTAAACGTAAAAAATGACATAAACCATCACATGTTCTTAATATCTTGATTAAGTTAAGAAGCTCTTTGATTTCATAATATTGTTGCATTTGTGATACTGATTTTTTTATTTTAATTTGAATAGTAAGGGAAGCATGTGACCTTCTCAGCAACTCTCAAAACTGCTTTGATGGACAAAAGGACAGGTTTAGACATTGAGACAGACAGATGGGCACACACACTCAGTAGGTATATAGATGGTCCGACTAAATAGACAGCAGCTCAGGCTAATAATGGATTGAGAATTTGATTAGCGGCGGGGATAAGAAGACAGGATCTAGCTCCGTCATTACTGCCGTCTGTCCGAAAACCCTAATTATAACTAAACGCACAGACCCTTTTCTCCCTCGCTCCCTCACTATCCTCTTACTAACCCCACACAATGCTCGACAATCTGAACAAAGCTTCCCTGAGGCCCCTAATCTAATAGAGCAGTCTCTACAAGACACACACACACACCAGCCAACAGAGCGGGTAGGACACAGTCTGGAGGGAAGGATGAGGGACTGATGGAGAAAGAAGACATGTAGTCAGATAAAGGAGATAAATTGGACACTGATTGAGGAATAACATAGAGAGAGAGAGAGGGTTTCTTTTACAAGTCTCCAAGGGCTGTCAATGTGGTGTTCATGATGAGGGAGCTCTGGTGGGACCTTATTGTTCCCTTGTTTGTATATGTGTGTGTGTGTGTGTGTGTGTGTGTGTGTGTGTGTGTGTGTGAGTGTGAGACAATCTGCTGTGAGCCCTTTTAGAGCTCAGCCTGTTTTATTCCTGTTCTGTGTGAGGGTGATCACACAGACTCTGATCCTGCAGTACACTTAACACTCCTGAAGCAGTGTATTGATTTGGGGGGCGGTGTACACAGAGGAACGGTAGTGACTGGTGCAGAGCTGTGTAACACGGGAAAGCTCAACATGACCTGTGATGTAAATGCAAATAGTCATAAGGAGGCAATGTTCAAAACGCATCAGACGACCAGCCATCGACCTCTGTGCATGTGGCACATGTCACTCTGTTTATTTTGTTTGTACTGTGGGTAGATGTCTGCATGCTTTCATGCCAGACTCATGCAGGAGACAATAGGTTCAGTGTTAACATGAGGAAGAAGAGCTGGTTGTTGCATTTGCGTACGAGTACAAACGAGTACAAGTCTACCTAAGATAGATTACTTACGATTTTAGTCATCAAATATACTTTAACTATAACGACCAAATTCTTGCCAGCGTAGGATACAATCACAGTGAAGTTAAAGAGAAGTTGAAAAACGTACATGGAGCATTCCTGATTGAGGACAGAATGAACAGAAGTATATTCAATTTGGCTAGGCATCTTTTTAAACTCACCATTCCCTAAATTGGATGTTTGTTGTCTATATTAACCCAGGATCAAAGAGATGGGACACATCAGACATTTTATATGTAGTGGCCCGGCTCTTGCCACAGTTGTTGATGTCAGCGAGTCGTCTTATATAATGCTGCCATCTATCAGAGGGAGACAAGTGAACTAAAGAGACAGCCTTTCTGAGCCTCCAGGCTGCAGCCGTGCCCACACACACACACACACACACACACACACACACACACACACACAGAGAATGTTTCTCTATCTGCAGGGTCGTGGTTTCTATCACCCCGTCTCTTGAATATGCCCCTCCCACTTCCATCCTGTCCACACAGACATCTTTATCTGCCAGGACAGGGGCCAAGTGCACTGTTCAGGCCAATCACAGAGTCCTGCGTGGACCAATCAGAATCCAGTAAATACCTTGGACTCTTCTAATTTCTCTACTTTGTGCCTCCTCGTTTTCATCCTCCTCCGTCCTCCTGCCTCTGACCCGGAAATTCATCTTGAAGAAATTCTCAATTCCTAAAATGCATCTCGAGGAGAGAGGAGCGAGGAGCCAAGGAGGTGGAGGAGCTATGATTGAGGATGCACAGCTGCGGAAGTCTTTTCGACACCTGTGATGTATCAAACAGGCGTGACAAAAGACGGATGATGCAGCTGTGCCGCACGTCATATTCAATTGAGTCACTTTAAAATACTGCTCTGAAGCACGGATGTCTCATTTTGTCGTGTCTCATTCTGCCTCAGCTCCTTGTATTCTTTCCTTGCCTCCTCTGATCACATCTAAGGTGGGAGGGACTAAGACACAAGGAGAGGAGCTGAGGCAAAGAATCGAGGGTTTACAAACTGAGAAGTAAGACGACGGGACATTCAAAGCTCGGCACATTTAAGACTATTTGTATATGCTGTCAAAATAATAGCATGTTTTAGGAGAAAATATTAGGCCATTTGACAATGCAAAAAAATCCAACAGCCTAACTTCTAATGTATGTCAAAGTCAGTGACTAAGCGGTAACTGAATGAATTGTAATCTTTAAATCCAAGAGGGAATACAGCAAAGTCATTGTTGTCCTAAGCAGCAGTGATACATATTCATCCTGAACCTCTCTTTAAATGCCACAGCATGACTGAGGATACAGACGGCAGGAAATGATTCTTGCTTTTACTGAAGCGTGAGCAGCAGAGAGGTTTGCCCGTGTGATACTTCAGTGAGCGTGGCCCCAACCATGCAACCAACAGGAGGCAAAGTATCGAGTCACTGAGGGTGAATTGCAGAATGCGTGAATGCTGTGGAGGACTGAGCTCTACATTCTGCTTCAGTAAAGATTGAATTTGGCTGCTTTCTATCTGCCGTAGCACTCACTCATTTCAGGTGAAAGGGTACGAGAGATATGTAAGATGTGTGATTCCTGTTTTTATACAGTCTTCCTTCATGAATTGATTTTCATGAGATTTATGGGCGAGCAGACCTTGAGCCAATTAATATTGACTATATGTTAGTGGTTATTCAGGTTTATATGAGGTATTTGTTATATTTTAGACATGAATCTTGAGGATATGTTTGTAAGAATTGCCATTTTTGTTGGACGTTTAAGCCCTTCGGGTGCTTTCTATGTTTTTTGGAGCAACTAACCCTATCCGCATACTTTAAAAAACTTTCATCTCTCTTTTTCCCTAGTGGAGCTCGACGCGGAGCATGCACAGAGAGTCCCTGGGGCAGAACAGGGAGGGGCTCCAGCCCCCCAGGTCAAGCTGAAAGAAAGGCAGAAGTTCTTTGAGGAGGCCTTCCAGCAAGACATGGAGCAGTACTTGTCCACTGGCTACCTGCAGATCGCTGAGAGGAGAGGTGAGGTCAGAGGTTCTTCAGATACCACAGTCCTGCTCTTTGATTTTATTTGAACAGCTTGAAATTAAGCATTTCTTTTGGTCTGAGGCCTGCAAAGGAAAAAAAGAAAATGTTGAGGAGTTAACGTTTGGGCTGTGGTGTCTGTTACTAATTCGAGGGTGAATGCAATGCCATCCAGCATTCAAATGACTTAATTCCACAGTTCTGATACCATCAGCTGAATCCTTTACACTTCAACTGCAAATCAGGAGATTGAGCCATAACGGCTTTCTGCAGCAAGACTCCACAATCCGAGTGCCTGTCACAAGTAGAGCCATTTCTCTGAATAATGCCATAGCGCCATATCAATGTAGTCATCCACTGGGATTGTAATGGAACCCTTCTGCAGTTTACCCTGTGTATTACTGACGAAAACTAGTGCTAAAATACCCAAATGATGTGCTTAAATGAGGGACTTCGTGAGATATGCACCCTGCACTGAAAGATGTATTGGACTCTACCAGCCCAGAGTTTGCAATGTGATGTTTCTTCTTCTTTTACTCACCTATCCTGCTCCCTTAATCCTCTGGAAGTGGCTTATTGGAGAGTATTGTGGAGCAGTGAGGAAGGAGGAAAGATGAAATGAAAGGAAAGAGACTTAAGGAGAGGAGCAGAGAGACTCACGTTTTCACTGTCACTCAAAACTGTTTCTTTTTCAGATCAATGCTGTTTTTTCATAATATCCACAGCTCATTAGCTCATAGTCAGTCTTGTGTCGCCTACATTCGTTCACTGTCAAAAGACAGGGGAGATGTTTACATTTAGGCTTGACACTTCAAATGATGTAATTCCGAGTACAAAGGCGAGCACGTGGGATGCTCAACAAAAATCCTAAATGCTATATGAATACTTATAATGAGTTACAGAGGGGACTTTCATTATAATTCTGTTGAAATACATCTGAAAAAAAAGGCTATGGTTTGAAACTCAATAACACACAAAACACTGCGACTCATTATCTTGCGCAGCTACAGCAGGGCGGTGCCACTGAAGAGCAAAGATACAGCTGGGGACATTGAGGAAGAGGGGAGAGAGATAAAAAGAATGAACTGAAAGGAGATAGTCAAGAAGAGGAGAGAAAGGGCTGCAGATGTCACGAGCCACTGAGCTATCAAAAGCCAGTCTCAAGGATCTTATACACACACACACACGCACACATTCACGCACACACATATAAATACTCTACGCAATCTCACTGGAGGCAAACACAGTCCTTCCCAACAGGGGAGCCTTTTAGGCAAGGTCACAGTGAGGCTAAAAGAAGAACATGGTGGAGGCAGTCACATGGAAATGATGTTCTCAAAGCAGTGCTTTCTGGACCAAAACTTTCACAACATAGCCGTAGTGTTGTTTGTGTGTGTGTGCAGTGTGCATTCGTTTATTCATGTGCTGGAAAGACGGCTCCATTTAGGGCCGAAAACTGAATCAACATCCCCCGTACTATGTTGTTTTATGAGGCTGAATAGCTGCTATGTGGTGGTAATTTTGTAGCTGACAAGCAAGATATGTAAACGCAAGTTATTAGCGAGCATTAGACCCTTGTTCCTTTAAGATGTGTCACAGAAAACACCACTGCTGTCTCCACAGAGAAAGAGAGAGAAGGAGAACATTTCTTTCCATTTTATACACCAATCCAGTAATATGTGTGCAGGAGGGATTTTGTGTGTATGTGTGTGTTTGTGTGTGTAAGTTTAAATAAAACACAACATCCATTTGTGTATGCTTTCAAGCCATCTGGGTTTGTGTGTTACTTTATGTACATTAGAATCAGTTTCAATCAGAATCAGAACCATTTATTATCAAGGTATGTTGCACATGCAAGGAATATGACATGACGGGTCGTGCATAACATTAATGTTTAATGTTATGCACGACCCGTCATGATTAAACAATCAACAACAATCAACACAGTGCAAAAAGTAGAAACATATTGAAATTTACAGTAAAATATAAAATGAAGTGAAATATAAAATGAAGTGAAATATAAAATGAAGTGCACAAACGAACAGATAACAGGACTATAAACAAGTGAGATGTTAGTGTAATGCAAAAGTGTCGAGTGTGTTTAAATAAGAAACCTAGAGGGGATGTGCAGGGGAGAGACCGGTAGGAGATTGTCCTGGAGATGACAGAGTCAGTGGGGGTCCCGCGCTCTGTTAATGAGCCCGACTGAAGACAGGAAAAAACTGTTCATGTGGTGTGAGGTCTTGGTCCTGATGGACAACAGCCTCCTGCCAGTGTGCTAGTGTGTGTTGTGTACATTTGTGGACAATCAAATGAATTGCCAAAGTTGAGTTGTCTGAAAATATGACACTAACTCGTGTGTGTGTGTGTGTGTGTGTGTGTGTGTGTGTGTGCGCGTGCGTGCGTGCGTGTGATCTTTTGTTGCTATTTGAAGGACGGAGAGACTTTTGGGGCAGTCTCCATGGGAAATAACATTCCCCTTCTTTCTCTCTTTCCTCGCTCTTTATTCTGCTCTCCCTCCCTGTGCCGCCCTCCTCTGCTCTCCTCATTTCCTTGAGGTACGGTAGCCAATGGCATCTTCTCTCACTGCTGCGCGCCGACCAATCATCGCCCTCCTTCCTCTTGTGCTCGCAACTCTGCCCCCACCCACCCCCTTTCATCCCCACAGTGCACTGACTGGCCGTTTGTGATGCATGCAGCACATCATGATGGTGAACAGGGGGGTTTGTACCCCTGCAAGGTGGTGAATCCAGGACTGTAGTCGTATTAGCTGCAGGAGGAGTTTCCAATGATTTTGTTGTATACTGCTGATTAAACCACAAGCTAGTTTGCCATTCATATAGAACATCAACAAAGATATCAAAATAAGACAGAAAATGAAATAAGTCAAATATTGTTTTGGTAAAGATGTATTGCCTCATTGCATGTCATAACAAGTATGTGGAGAGTGTATAATTACCATTATGCTAAATATAAATTCATTTAAGTTTGGTCTGTATGGCTTTGATCTGTTTTACGTATTGTATTGTTTCCGATTTGGTGCTGGGTTCATTGTATCATGTGGCCGGGTCGATCTTTCATCCCATTGAATGTGAATTTAGTTATAATTTTGTTTTACCCAGCCTTGAAATATACATGCGTGGGTACCATGATGATTACTTACGTGATTATTTACATATGGGCATATAAAAACATTAGTTATTTGGAAAGATGTGAACCTATCCTGTTGCTTGTCGCCTTCATATATAGCTTCCTACATGTAGTGACACCTGGCAATCCGTTATTTGCTTCTGCATTGCAACTTTTGAAAAAACCTGTCTTCCTGGACTCAGCCCCTTGCTGCTGCTGCCCTCCTTGATCTTGTGCGGGGCTAATATCTTGCTGTCTCATGTTGTGTCCAGAGCCAATAGGAAGCATGTCGTCCATGGAGGTGAACGTGGACATGCTGGAGCAGATGGATCTGATGGACATGTCTGACCACGAAGCCCTGGATGTGTTTCTGCACTCCGGGGGAGAGGACAACAGTGCTACCTCGCCTGTCGCAGGTTGGTGGCCACAAACACACACAAAGTATGTTTCTAAGTCATCTTAGTCAGAGATTCTCAATCTTTTTTCTCTGTGATTTAGCCGAGACATCACGTCGACCGTTGGATGTCTTTTAATGGCAAAAATCGCTATATTGGAAAATACCCTCCGTAGCCCAATTGGTAGCTATAGCATTTAAAAAGTAAAATTGAGTAAAAGTTTACACTACAGCTACTATTTTGGTGTACAGATGTATCTGTTGTCGTTCAATAGCTGTCTAATTGATGACTAGGCTATACCTGCATGGGCTATAGTTTGACGTCTGCTACACTTTCACCGGCAGCCCAAATTTAGCTGTGTTTTAGCCTCTTAAATGATTCTGAAAACTATTCACGGACCCCCTGAAAGAGTCCGGACCCCAGGGGACCCCACTTTGAGAATCACTGATCTAAGGGACTCCTCTTTTTCCCTGGTCCAGATGTTGAGTCCTTCACCACAGAGATCAGTCTCCAGGTCCCCACCCAGGCTGAGCTACGCCACAAGCTTTCTTCCCTTTCATCCACCTGCACCGACTCTGCCAGCCAAGACACGGAGGCCAGGGACGAGGAGGACGAGGAGGAGGAAGAGGAGACGGAGCAAGGAGGAGGTGGAGGTGTTGGAGGATCAGGCGGAGGAAGAAGGAGGAGAAGGGCCCCCGTGGTGGTGACCCTTGATGAAGAGGAGGTGCACCTTGACACAGCGTTGGTGGACGGGGTGAACCAGACCAACAAAGACAGTGAGGCGAGCAGGCCGAAGGTTTGAGGACACACAGACTGGATTTAAACACAAACGCACAGAGCCGCGAAATCAAACGGAGATATATAACAATATTGGCTTCCTTCTCAAATTGTCATACTGAAGAAAAAGATGTGAAAGAAAACACACCGATGTTGCACTAACTGCCACATGACCTTGCCTTAAAAGACCACTGATGTGAGTTTTCAATTCTAATTGAATCCTATAAAATAGGTTTGAGTTACCTTTAGCATACAAGCATTGGATGGCTTAACATTCACATAAATAGTTTGAAACTATTTGGAGAATGCTCTAATATTCTGTTTCTATGTTTGTGCATGTTGAGACCAGGAGAGACCTGTGACTGATACGTAGGAAGTACGAGACATACACACTAAAATCATCCATGTGTCCCTCTTGCTGTTTTCATGCTTCATGCTGACACTTACATATTCGCTAAAACTGCAGCTGCTAACATTCATTCAGGTTATGGCATTTTATGAAAGAATAATCTCTCCATTGCCCCTAGTGGTATCTAGCCATGCAGAAAGTTTTATCTGCCCTGGTTTTGTCATATCATTTTTAATGCATCGACAAATGACAATTAAAAAATTACAAACGGCTCAAAACCTGGACTAATAAAACCTTCAATCCACCACCTTTTCTGTGAATGTTTAATAAGTGCTGATGGAAAATGTGGTAGAAATAAATTCCCCTGCGCGTGTTATACAGACCTTTTTACAGCAGACATAAAAAATATGCTTGCACCTGTTTTTTTGCCCGCAACCATCCAGATGAGTTAGCAAGCTGAAAGCATTTAATCCAACATCAAAACACAACTGTTTCTGTGCAACAGGTGTTTCTCATAGTAACTTATACGTAGATGGTTGGCGTATTTAAAATTGACTGAAGGTTTTTACCAGGACACCTGTAACCAACCACAGACGCATTCAGCTGAGAGACACCAGTTAACACGGTCACTCATTAAACCAAAACACTGGCAGCATCAGGGGCCCGTGTTCGATCCCGGGCTGGACGCTGTGTGGAGTTTACATGTTCTCCCCGTGTCAGCGTGGGTTCTCGTCGCGTTCACCGGGTTCTCCAGCTTCCTCCCACATTCCAAAAGACATGCAATTTAGGTTCATTGATGGCTGCGCCGTAGGTGTTAACGTGTGCGTGAATGGTTGTCTGTCTCAATGTGTCAGCCCTGCGATAGTCTGGCAACCTGTCCAGGGTGGACCACCCTGTCTAACGGAGTAGATGGATTGGATTGGAGACCATTAAATTAACAAAACACAATGAGAGAAATCTCCGTTGGTTTTGGTTGTCTGTTCCAGTTTATCTTCTGGATCCTGAAGAAGGCCTTCAGCACTCCTTTGTCTGAGTGAGGATAAAAACTTTCATGCATAGTGAAGCACACGCGAGGCTCGCTCTCTCTGGGTTGGGGTCGGTGACAGCATCCAATCCCACGCCGACAGTAATTACAGCAGAATTATTCCATTGATGTTGATATCGTAGGGCGATTTGAGCAAAGGTAGCACCTTTGTTTGCTCTCGGCAGCTCAAATTCTGAAGGGTCCCCACGGACCATATACTCCGCTCTGCCGCTGCAGCCTCAAGTGGGCCTCTCTCTGGCTGATTTCGGCTGAATTACGGAGTCAGACAAAACACTGTAAAATCGACATCCATAAGATCCTCTGCACTCATATTTTGGAATGCCATTTCTGCTATTTGCAATGTAACACAAGCAACGAAAACAAGGAGGTTTTTGAGCGGCATTGCGCCCCACAACTACTAGACTAGCACTCTGTAGTTCTTCCGTATACAAAGTACATCACTGTCACGTAACTGGGATACAGAAGAACAACAGAGCTGTGCTCCCAGAGACACAGAGAACATCAGTAACAACTGCAAGCGTTTTTCACAATGCATATCTATCTCAGCTATAGATAAGGTTGAACATCGGTGAATTGTCCTTTTACTATAGTGAACAAATGATCTGCAGGGGGCACATGGATGCATTTTTCACGACTTTACGGATATGCTGAACCCCCAAAGCTTGTTGCAATTCCTTAACTGGTTTATGAGCTACATATTGCAATATTTTAAATACAAGCTACCAAAAAAAGCCAAACATGGAGTAATAGATGGCAGTCACCTGGCAGTGGGTTTTACATCACATAGTACTGTATAGCTGACAGACCACAGATGGAGTTCAGGTATCAAGATATCAATGATTTAACACACACACACACACACACACACACACACACACACACACACACACA